CTCTTTTCAGAAAGCTCATCTTAGTATTTTAAACCTTCAATTCCAACGTGTTTTACATGCACATTAATTAATAATTTACCAAATAAAACACAAAGACCCAGCATTGCTACAAATACCATTTTCAAGTCATGACCAGCCATTTCCCTTAACTCATTTTCATTGCCTTTCTCTTCATTTTCATCACCTGTGTGAAGGAGAGGTCCAGAGACAATCCGAGTTCTTCATTCGGATGCTGTTGGCACAGTTTGTCAAATGTATCCAGCTGGGCTCTGAGCTGAAAATTACAACAGAGCACCTGTTCAGTGGTTCTTACATTTACTTTAGCTCAGAGAACATCTCATGATTAGTGCAAAAACAGGTAAAGGCTCTTATCAATCCTAGATTGAAAATATTGCAGCGTGGTAACTGCAACGAAACTGCCAGATAGCAATGAAGAACCATGCAGAATACGTCAGGGATTTCAGCCTGTCCATTGAAGTGTTCCTCCCATGTTGAAGTCCACGTGGAACTGTCTTTATTCTAATGTTCTTTATTAAATAATTAATCTTTGTGAAATGCTTGGCAAGCTCCAGTTGTCAGAGTTTGTAGAATAACACATTAGCTTGCAAATCCAACTGAATAATAAAAAACCTTATTTGAAATTCTGTGCTGGATACAACCACCGTTAAATGTGTGCACCATTTTTTGTTTTAGGGATCTCATCCCACCTCTCCAGTAAAATTAATGACCTTCATTCAGTACCTACAGACAACTATCACTTTGCTAGCATTACTGACGTTGCAACTCAAGTTCTATGCACAGATATTTTTAATTACCACACAATTTTTGCATCCTGACTTAAAGTTTGCAAATCCCTGCTACGTGCTTTCTTTTTTTGCCCAGCCAGAGTTGCTACATGCCCACCTCTGAGAGCTTGAGGTCAGGCAGAAAAATGCCTGGAAAGACCTACTGCACAGGCTCAAAGCGCACAAGGGCTCCGGTGCCTTTACCGATCTTACTTTAACATTTAAAAAAATACACTTGAGATTCATAGAGTAATTCAGGTTGGAAGGGCCCTCAGCAGGTCAGCT